TTTTTAATTTTGGACTATTTCATGCAAAAGGATGTTAAAACAATTATAGTCAAATGAGAATTGTGGGATGTTGATAATATAAAGATTTTTTATTTAAAATATACAATGTGATATGAACTATAAGTAATGACTGTGGAAGAGATGCACGAAAGTTATTTGTAACCAATCAACACACTTCTACAATATGTAACGAAAGATGATTTGTGTGTGCGTGTTGTGTTTGTCTGTTTAACAACAAAAAAATTCAAAAAATAATAACAATTCTAAATGCTATTGCGATTGCTGTGGTTGGCCTTTAAGGACAGCTCCAGGTAGAGCACCTTTCAAATTGTTACTAAGGTATGAGAAGGACTTCCAGATCAAGGAGGAGGCACAACAGGTAGACCAGTTGAACCTGCACAAAGTTTCTCATGGCCACAGCTGCCACCTGCCCTTTGAAGAATACAGGTAGTGCTCGGATTACAAGAGTTCATTCCATGAAACTCATTTCATAAATGTTTGAATCATTCGGCACTGGAAAAAGGGCATGTTATGACCATTTTTCACTCTTAATGATAGTTGCATCATTCCCCATGGTCACATGGTGAAAAATTCAGACCCTTGGCAGCTGATTCATATTTATGACTGTTGCAGTGTCCCAGAGTTATGGGATCACCCTTTGCGGCTTTCGGACAAGCAAAATCTATGAGGAAGCCAGATTCATATCTGTGAATATCTGTAGAATAATCGGGTGTAGAATAAGGGTAGAAGTCAGGGGTGGGTTCTGGATTCTTTTACTGCCGGTTCGCTAGGGACGTGCTTTGCGCGGGCTACGCATGCATGCACAGTAGGTAAAAAAAATGCTTCTGCACCTGTGCAGAAGTAAAAAAACAAGATGGCGGCACTTATGTGCGTCGGTGGATGCGTAGGCAGCCGAGTTACTATCTATTCAGCCGAACCAGGCCAAACCGGTAGGAACCCACCTCTGGTAGAAGTTCGTTCTCCCAGCTTGTGGGTTGGTTTCCGAACATTTCGTAAAAGGCTAGGTAACATCTTCAGCAGAATTCAGGGGATCCGCCAAAGATGTTAGCCAGATGATGTTAGTCAAGCCAGATTCACTTACAACCATTTTACTAACTTAACCATGGTGGTGTGGTGGTTAGAGTGCAGTACTGCAGGCTACTTCTGCTGACTATTGGCTGCCTGCAATTTGGCAGTTCGAATCTCACCAGGCTCAAGGTTGATTCAACCTTCCCCCCCAAAAAAGCAGTATATAAGTCTAAGTGCTGTTCTAAGTGCTATTAACAACTGCAGTGAATCACTTAACAACTGTGGCAAGAAAAGTCATAACACGGGGCAAAATTCACTTTACTGTCTTGCTTAGCAACAGGTATTTTGGGCTCCATTGTGGTCGTAAGGAGGACCCCATCTTGTGCATCCTTCTTGCATGGGAAAGTGCAGTGTCATCTGGGACGAGTTATGGTCACATCCCTGGCCCCAGGGTTGAGGGGAGGGTGGGGGAGAACAGCCACGCCCGCTCAGTCTTCTCCAGATTGTTCCTCCCAATCAGAGGTGGGTTCCTACCAGTTCGCACCTATTCGGTAGAACCGGTTCGTCAAATCTACTGAACCGGTTAGAAGAGGTTCCACCAGTGGACCNAAAAAAAAAAAAAAAAGAGCCTTGGCAAATCCCCTTTGACTTCCTTTGGCTCCACTGAAGTTAAAAGTAAAGAAACTAGTGGAAGAGGAGATGTGGTCTCCTCTTGTGTTATGTTCTCAGGGAACCCCAAGATCCCCGTCAGTTTAGCCTCATAACATTCAGGCCAAATGATAAATGGGCAGAAGAGGCTGGGAGGTGAGTCAAAGCTCCGGTTGTTGTGTTACAAACAATTGGAAGTTGCTAAAGTTGAATTCCATGTGTGATAAAGGGTAGTTTTTGGCCTTGGCAGTTCTGATCACACTCTACATTCCTCGTGGAGAACTTGCGACATTACTTCAAAGAATTAGAAACATCCATCCAAGAAAACTCCCAGGGGCCTCCCTCTCCCGCTGCCATCCAAGGAGCCGTGAGCTCTCCTCCTCGCGGGCAGGAGAGGCTGGGCGTCCAGAGGGTGGACTGAGACATAGCCCTGGGCTCCCCAGGCCCACAAGGGTCGCCCGCGAAGAGCCGGTCAGAGATGAGAATCAAATTACGGATAGTCCTTGTCCTACAACCATAAGCAGCCGTTACAGTAGCAGTCGCCTCACTTAACGAGCCCTCATGCCTTCTCTCCCTAATGCAGTCATTAAATGAAGCATGGGATGCCTTGGGAAGATCCAGAGCAGGCCCAGAATTAACCGGGAGTCAGAAGAAATCTCGGGATGGGGGTGATGGGATGACTGCAAGGGGTCCTTTGACCTGGGAGGGGGGAGTGCTGGGAGGGATGCTGGACAGAGGAGGAAGGGTGAAAGGCTTGGGGAGAAACCCCCCCTCCCCCCCTCTCTCTCCCTCCCTCCCTCTCTCTCTCTCTCTCTCTCTCTCTTTCCCTCCCTCCCTCCCTCTCTCCCTCTCTCCCTCTCCAGGGAACCAGCCCCCATTCTCTTCCCCAATGCCTCGGCACTGGATCTTGAAGGGCACTGGGCTTTTAGCTGTTACTGCTAAATGTTGGGTCAGCTGTAATAAAGCCCCTCACTTGTACCTGTATACAGCTGAACCAGACTGTGTTGTTTCTCTGTGTCATATAAGTGCGTATAGGCATCATTTTCTATTCATTTCTTTATTTTGTCGTGTTTATGTACTGTGTATTGGAGGTGATGACCCTTTGAAAGCTTGGAGGTCTTCTAATCCATCCCTCTGCTGAAGCAGGAGACCCTCGACCATTTCAGACCAATGCTTGTCCGGTCTCTTCTTAAAAGCCCCCAGTGACGGAGCAGCACCCACAACTTCCGAAGACAACCTCCGTTCCACTGGTTGTGGGAAGCTGGCCAAAAGTTGCCTGATGTGATGGGAAGAGACGCTTCTGCCTCTTGCTTGCCAGTCCTCTCGGGGTCTGGGTGAAATGCTTGCAGGGTCAACAGGGCTATTCTTACCTTGCTAATTATGCTGAGTTCTGCTTAGCAATGATAAAAAGTAAATGCAATTGCAAATACAATTTGAAAGTAAGAAAAGGGGACGTTGCCTCCATCATATTATGAAGTCTACCTAACTGTTACTCTTCAAACAAGGACCCCTTTCCTGGAGGACAGAGGGGTATCACAGAGGGATGGGAAGCTTTGAGCAAATTGGGAGATGATCCCAGAGCAACGCTGAAGGGCCAGTTTGCATGAAACACACAATTGAATGCCACTTGCTTCCTGCAAACTATACGTGGAGGTCAGGGATCTCCAAACTTGGCAACTTTCAGTCTTGTGGACTTAAATTCCCAGAATTCCTAGGCCAGCGTGGTCTTAAAGAAGCCAAGTTTGGTGACCCCTGGTGTACGGGAATACAAGAAGCGAGGGTGGCTTTTTTGTGCTGTAGTGCCAATGTGTACCAGGGTGGTGGTAGAGAGTTGCCTTGCCTAGTGGCTGTTTCACTTTTGCACTCATGAAAATGTGTGCCACACGTGCCCTTCTGACACAAGCGAGTGACAGGTGAGGAAATTTGATTTTTCTGGGGGAGGGGAGCAGCAAACTTCACAAAACAAGAAATCAGAATCTGACAGCCTAGATTTTCCTTAATGCAAAGGCCAAATTCTTTCCACCGTCCAGTTGTAAAATACCAGTTTTGGCTGCAAAACTCAAAAAGGAGAAATACATATTTTTTTGCATTTAGTAGCCAGAATGCTCAACAGCAAAGCTTTATTTCCTGAAATACACATGCACAGGGCACTCTTTATAATCATAATGTCAGATTATGACTTCAATGTCTAGAAGAAGATTATATTCAGTTCAGAGAATTTGACTGCTACTTTAGTACATTGCAGTTCAAAACTGACGTCCTCCCCAATAAGGGAATTACGGTTTATGGTTTATTAGGATTTGTATGCCGCCCACTCTCAAGAGACTCAGGGCGGCTTACAGATAGAAACGGGGAGGGGGGACATATAAAAATTAAAAAGAACAGACATTAAAATTGCACAACATTCATATAGCTTAGAATGGGGCTGGATAAATCATTGGGGGGGGGGCATTTATGGAAGCAACAAAAGAATCACCTCTGCAGGTTCCAACCAAAGCGTGGAGCACATCTGGAGAATGAGATGGTGCTTGAGACGGTGCCAATCTACATTTCAATACCAAACAGAGGAGAGTTCATAGAGTGTGCGTGTCATTGTCCACTATCGTTGATTTCACACACTAACAAAATGGTGCTTAGGGTCATCCAATGCAGATTAGAGCCAGACATGAGAAAAGAGATGTTCCACGTGGTTTTTGAAAATGCTGAAGAACATGAAACACGACGGCAGAGGAAGGTAGGATAACTGAGAAAGGAAAAATTATCGAAAATATATCAATATGCTACATTCAGAGTAACAGAATAACAGAGTTGGAAGGGACCTTGGAGATCGTCTAGTCCATCCCCCTGCTGAAACAGGAGAACCTATCCCATTTCAGACAAATGGCTGTCTAGCCTCTTCTAAAAGGCCTCCGGTGATGGAGCACCCACAATTTCTGTAGGGAAGCTGTTCCCCTGGTGAATTGTTCTCACTGCCAGGAAATTTCTCCTTAGTTCTAAGTTGCTTCTCTCTTTGATTAGTTTCCACCCATTGCTTCTTCTTCTCCTGCCCTCAAGTGCTCTGGAGAATAGGTTGGCCCCCCTCTTCTCTGCGGCAGCCCCTCAAATATTGGAAGACTGCTATCATCTCTCCCCCAGCAGTATTCCAATATTTGAAGGGCTGCCACAAAGAAGAGGGAATTAAAAGGCCTCTGATTTTGTCAATCGCTTCAAGCTGGGGAATATATTTAAAAATGAGGCTCCTAGAATATCTCACTGTCCTTGTGCGAAACCTATTCAAAGATCAGGAAGGTCACAGTGGTGGCACTAAACCCCTTGGAAGGCTGGTGAGCCATGGTCCTCCTAGTCCTTGCTTGGCCATCTAACCAGGAAAGGATTGGCCTGCAGGAGACACAGAAAGCGAGTGTGACATTGTCCTTCTGTGCAGAGAGGAAGTCCCACCCGTCTTCCCTTTGGTTACATCTTCCAGAGGTTCCTGAGCATTTGGCGGAGCCGTCCCGAGATCTCCTTGGTCTTCATGCTATAAATTATGGGATTCATAAATGGTGGAAAGAGGATGTAGATGTTGCCCATGAGGACGTAGACAAAGGGAGGCGCATTCTGTCCAAGCGGTGTATGATGGACAGTCCGAGTGCAGGAACACAGAAGACCAGGACAGCACAGAGGTGGGAGCCACAGGTGCTCAGGGCCTTGAGGGGGCTGCGGCCGCTGGACACCATGCCCAGGACTGCCTTCAGGATCAGGCTGTAGGACAGGAGGATGAAGAGGAGGTCTGAGCCCATGCTGAGGAAGATCAGGATCAGGAGATACCAGTTGTTGAAAGTGGTGTCACTGCAAGCCCAGCGAATCAGATCCTGGTGCAGACAGTAGGAGTGGGACAGCGTAGCACCTGGGCAGTAGGGGAACGTTGCAAGGAAATAAAAGGCGGGCAGTAAGGGAAGGCTGCTCCTCAGGAAGAGGGCGAGTCCAATTTGCTTGACTCTGGGGGTGGTCAGCAGCTCGGAGTACCTCAGAGGGTACCTGATAGCCACGAAGCGGTCCACCGCCATGGCAAAGAGCACGGCTGACTCCATGAGGGAAAAGGAGTGGAGGAAGAAGGCTTGGGCAATGCAGGCCTGGCTGCCAATCTGCCTCAGGCGGAAGCAGAGGACACCCAGCACGGTGGGCATGGTGATGACACAGAGGCCCAAGTCGGTGGCAGCCAGCAAGGCCAAGAACTGATACATGGGCTGATGCAAGCTTGGCTCTACCCAGATGACGTAGAGAATGGAGCAGTTGCCCAGCACAGCAACCACGTAGACACAGAAAATGGCGATGCCAATCCAGCCGTAAGCTGTCTCCAGACCAGGAAAGCCACCCAGGGCAAACACTGCCATGCTGACGTTGGAGAGGGTAGCTGATGCCATGGCGAGTCACAGCAAGGACCTGCCGGTGCCCTAGTGCCCTTCCTTCTCTGTGCCCCAGGAGGTCCAAGCTTTGCCTCCCCTCACCTACCTGTCCTTGAGAGCTTCCAGCCTCACATTTGCATGCTCCGTGTTCAGCCTTCAGGGTGGGAGGAGAGCAGCCGCTCTGCAAAAGGCTGGATGATCCCACAACCTTCTTGAGATGGTCCTTCACAGAGGAACCGAGGGAACTCTGAAGCTCCTGGGTACCATGCTGATGATCTCCCCCGATTCCTCCTTGGGCCAGGAGATCGACCCAGAAGCAGTGCCTCCTCTCCCTGATTTCTAACTGCTGGTGTGTGTGTGGGGGGTTGTCTATTTCAGCGCATCAAGGCGAGTCTTCTTCAGGAGAGCCCTGTCTTCTTCTCCAGGAGGTGCTGCAAGAGAGGCTGGAAGGGAGAATTCTTCTTCTCTGAATGAGGTTTATTCCTAGTGATGGCTGTAATAACCTGAGTTGCTGAAAGTCCTTATGAAGGGAGGCCTCTGGGGTTCTTCAGCCAAGAGTAGAGGGGAATCCATGGAGACTGAGAGCTGAGCCTTGGGGGTTACCACAAACGCCTCCCAGCCCTGGATCTCGGCTCAGGTGCCTCCTGCAGCCTCCCAGGTGAAGGGAGGGCCAGGAAAGAGCGCTGCAATCCCATCATGGGAGCACACAATGGATCAGCCAGACGAATCTACTGCCGGCCCCACTAAGCTGTTCCCTCCTTCCTTGGTCATATATACCCCAGGGGTGTCGGTTGTAACTTTGAACAATTGTGAAGTGGCCTTAAAGATGGGAGAAGCCCTGCCATTTTCTTGTGCGGCCCCTGCCCCATCCTTGGGATGACCTTCCCCCAGAGGACCACCCTGTGCCCATCTCACCGGCTGTCCATGAACAATGAGAACTTAGTTGTTCTCCTTCCCTTGGCATAGGAAGGGTGGGGTGGGGCTGAGTCCCTGTGCTTTAATGTGTGTGTGCGTGAGAGGGGGGGGAGATGACATGGAGGTGGTCTTCTGGTCATCTCTGTTATTCTTTTATTTACGATGTGCTCTACGTCTTCTGATCTCAGGGATGCAGTCAACACTTTGGTCAATTTTAGAGTCTAGAAAGATGAATTCCTTTACTCTTTTTTTAAAAAAAAATATTTTATTTTTGAATAAACACAAACAGACAAAACACAACAAACACCACAAATTATTACAAATTGTAAAGAGTGTGAGTGAGCTTTTGTGCATCCCTTCCGCAGTCATCACCTACAATTCATATCAAGTTATAATGTTTTAAATCAAATATATTTATATATATTACTATCATCATACCTCAATCTTCATATGACTATAAAATTGTTTTTGCGTCCCTTTATATAAAATATTCCAAAATTTAAAGCAAAACCACATGATGGCATTCCGTTATCCTCAATATCATCCAGCAACATTACATCTTTATGACACTTCTAAATAAAAATTAATTATGTTTAATAGC